TCCAACACATTAAAACACATTACTTCGTGCTTTTCTCTTCAAACCAGCACAGCTGTTTCCTAGAAAGGAAAATGTGCACCATTAGAAAATATTATTTCTCTTACAGAGTTAAAAAAAATTAGAAATTGATTGTTTTTGAAAATTGGGCTGATTCAAGATGTTTTAAAGTAACATGGGCTTTTTTAAAATTTAAATTTATTTTTACTTTTTAGGGAGGTTTCACACAAACGGAGTCCCAAACAGATAGGAGAACACCTTCTTCTGAAAGCGTAAGTGTCAAAGTGACAGTTTTATTGCAAATGTCTACTAATCTTTATAGCTTTAGAACTAAAAGAGATCTTAATAAATAAGTAGAGTGGAGGAAATATAAGCAATAAGATATTTGTGGAACTAGCAGGTCAAAAAACAAAGTAACAATAAGTGTAGGTAACTATGTTATCTGTAAAATAAATCTTAGTCATTTGAGAGGCTAGAATCACGACCTAAAAGTTCCTTTTGTTCTTAGGAAGTCAGCAAAGGTCTTGCGTTTAATTCATCTGTTTTGTATTATTAAAGAGAGGTACACATCTATTTGTATGGTGATCAGCAATCCCCAAACCTTAATGATATTAAAATACAGTCCTGAAACCATTTAGTCATTTTGCAACAGTGACCATTTTGGTGATTTGAAATTTTACTCTTCACTTTTTAATTTTTTTTGAAGATGGTGAATTGGAAACCCCCCATCTTGCTGGGCTCCCTCTGTGGGACATTCCAGCACATTATTTCTTAGTGATGTTCTCTTCACTTTGAAAACCACTACTTGCCAGGACCTGGCCCATAAGGGTTAGGTAAGTCCCACCTTGATATTATTTTAAATAACTATATTTTGCAGACTTGCAAAGTTACAAGATTACTGTGCTTAAACAATTGATGTTAGGAAACAACTTTGCAAAGCTGTACAATATTGTTTTTTTAATAATAAAAGGGACTTCACTCACATTGAAGACTGGCTTCGTTCTGCTGGGTGTGAAATCTGGGA